AGTCCTTTTATTTTTGTGTGTGTGGGAATGATGCTGTGGATAAAGTGACTATGTTGTGACATTAGTTTTGTGCCAGTGCTATAGAATACGTTTTCTGAAATGAGTGTTAACTGTGCCTATGCTGAGGGCTAGACTTTGGCTTTGTTCAGACAGGCAGCAAAATTCTGATTTATTTTTATTTTCTTTCTTTCTTTTTTTGGAATCCGATGTTTCCAAACTACATCCATAGGTAGTCAGCTGAAAATCTTTTAGAATGCATCTGAACAGTCAGATTACATTACAGATTACAGAAAGTAGTTCCCTTTCATGGGAACTTCGAACTGTGTCCTCTAGGGGTCGCTATGGGGAACGCCTCGTCGTGACCCGTGTCTGAAGCATACATTGAAAAAACCCCAACTCGTTGGCCGGCGACAGCCATGACGTCACTACCGGTGCGACTATAGTATAAATAGGCGCCGGGAGCACACATCATTCACTTCTTCATCTGAAGCTTGCGTCCGCAGCATGGCAAGAAACCTAGAGGACGCAGTGTCTCGTTCCCTACTCAGGGAACCATGGTTACATAAGTAACCTGAGACGTTCCCTTTCATGGGAACTTCGAACTGCGTCCTCTAGGGGTCGCTATGGGGAACGCCTCGTCGTGACCCGTGTCTGAAGCATACATTGAAAAAACCCCAACTCGTTGGCCGGCGACAGCCATGACGTCACTACCGGTGCGACTATAGTATAAATAGGCGCCGGGAGCACACATCATTCACTTCTTCATCTGAAGCTTGCGTCCGCAGCATGGCAAGAAACCTAGAGGACGCAGTGTCTCGTTCCCTACTCAGGGAACCATGGTTACATAAGTAACCTGAGACGTTCCCTTTCATGGGAACTTCGAACTGCGTCCTCTAGGGGTCGCTATGGGGAACGCCTCGTCGTGACCCGTGTCTGAAGCATACATTGAAAAAACCCCAACTCGTTGGCCGGCGACAGCCATGACGTCACTACCGGTGCGACTATAGTATAAATAGGCGCCGGGAGCACACATCATTCACTTCTTCATCTGAAGCTTGCGTCCGCAGCATGGCAAGAAACCTAGAGGACGCAGTGTCTCGTTCCCTACTCAGGGAACCATGGTTACATAAGTAACCTGAGACGTTCCCTTTCATGGGAACTTCGAACTGCGTCCTCTAGGGGTCGCTATGGGGAACGCCTCGTCGTGACCCGTGTCTGAAGCATACATTGAAAAAACCCCAACTCGTTGGCCGGCGACAGCCATGACGTCACTACCGGTGCGACTATAGTATAAATAGGCGCCGGGAGCACACATCATTCACTTCTTCATCTGAAGCTTGCGTCCGCAGCATGGCAAGAAACCTAGAGGACGCAGTGTCTCGTTCCCTACTCAGGGAACCATGGTTACATAAGTAACCTGAGACGTTCCCTTTCATGGGAACTTCGAACTGCGTCCTCTAGGGGTCGCTATGGGGAACGCCTCGTCGTGACCCGTGTCTGAAGCATACATTGAAAAAACCCCAACTCGTTGGCCGGCGACAGCCATGACGTCACTACCGGTGCGACTATAGTATAAATAGGCGCCGGGAGCACACATCATTCACTTCTTCATCTGAAGCTTGCGTCCGCAGCATGGCAAGAAACCTAGAGGACGCAGTGTCTCGTTCCCTACTCAGGGAACCATGGTTACATAAGTAACCTGAGACGTTCCCTTTCATGGGAACTTCGAACTGCGTCCTCTAGGGGTCGCTATGGGGAACGCCTCGTCGTGACCCGTGTCTGAAGCATACATTGAAAAAACCCCAACTCGTTGGCCGGCGACAGCCATGACGTCACTACCGGTGCGACTATAGTATAAATAGGCGCCGGGAGCACACATCATTCACTTCTTCATCTGAAGCTTGCGTCCGCAGCATGGCAAGAAACCTAGAGGACGCAGTGTCTCGTTCCCTACTCAGGGAACCATGGTTACATAAGTAACCTGAGACGTTCCCTTTCATGGGAACTTCGAACTGCGTCCTCTAGGGGTCGCTATGGGGAACGCCTCGTCGTGACCCGTGTCTGAAGCATACATTGAAAAAACCCCAACTCGTTGGCCGGCGACAGCCATGACGTCACTACCGGTGCGACTATAGTATAAATAGGCGCCGGGAGCACACATCATTCACTTCTTCATCTGAAGCTTGCGTCCGCAGCATGGCAAGAAACCTAGAGGACGCAGTGTCTCGTTCCCTACTCAGGGAACCATGGTTACATAAGTAACCTGAGACGTTCCCTTTCATGGGAACTTCGAACTGCGTCCTCTAGGGGTCGCTATGGGGAACGCCTCGTCGTGACCCGTGTCTGAAGCATACATTGAAAAAACCCCAACTCGTTGGCCGGCGACAGCCATGACGTCACTACCGGTGCGACTATAGTATAAATAGGCGCCGGGAGCACACATCATTCACTTCTTCATCTGAAGCTTGCGTCCGCAGCATGGCAAGAAACCTAGAGGACGCAGTGTCTCGTTCCCTACTCAGGGAACCATGGTTACATAAGTAACCTGAGACGTTCCCTTTCATGGGAACTTCGAACTGCGTCCTCTAGGGGTCGCTATGGGGAACGCCTCGTCGTGACCCGTGTCTGAAGCATACATTGAAAAAACCCCAACTCGTTGGCCGGCGACAGCCATGACGTCACTACCGGTGCGACTATAGTATAAATAGGCGCCGGGAGCACACATCATTCACTTCTTCATCTGAAGCTTGCGTCCGCAGCATGGCAAGAAACCTAGAGGACGCAGTGTCTCGTTCCCTACTCAGGGAACCATGGTTACATAAGTAACCTGAGACGTTCCCTTTCATGGGAACTTCGAACTGCGTCCTCTAGGGGTCGCTATGGGGAACGCCTCGTCGTGACCCGTGTCTGAAGCATACATTGAAAAAACCCCAACTCGTTGGCCGGCGACAGCCATGACGTCACTACCGGTGCGACTATAGTATAAATAGGCGCCGGGAGCACACATCATTCACTTCTTCATCTGAAGCTTGCGTCCGCAGCATGGCAAGAAACCTAGAGGACGCAGTGTCTCGTTCCCTACTCAGGGAACCATGGTTACATAAGTAACCTGAGACGTTCCCTTTCATGGGAACTTCGAACTGCGTCCTCTAGGGGTCGCTATGGGGAACGCCTCGTCGTGACCCGTGTCTGAAGCATACATTGAAAAAACCCCAACTCGTTGGCCGGCGACAGCCATGACGTCACTACCGGTGCGACTATAGTATAAATAGGCGCCGGGAGCACACATCATTCACTTCTTCATCTGAAGCTTGCGTCCGCAGCATGGCAAGAAACCTAGAGGACGCAGTGTCTCGTTCCCTACTCAGGGAACCATGGTTACATAAGTAACCTGAGACGTTCCCTTTCATGGGAACTTCGAACTGCGTCCTCTAGGGGTCGCTATGGGGAACGCCTCGTCGTGACCCGTGTCTGAAGCATACATTGAAAAAACCCCAACTCGTTGGCCGGCGACAGCCATGACGTCACTACCGGTGCGACTATAGTATAAATAGGCGCCGGGAGCACACATCATTCACTTCTTCATCTGAAGCTTGCGTCCGCAGCATGGCAAGAAACCTAGAGGACGCAGTGTCTCGTTCCCTACTCAGGGAACCATGGTTACATAAGTAACCTGAGACGTTCCCTTTCATGGGAACTTCGAACTGCGTCCTCTAGGTTTCTTGCCATGCTGCGGACGCAAGCTTCAGATGAAGAAGTGAATGATGTGTGCTCCCGGCGCCTATTTATACTATAGTCGCACCGGTAGTGACGTCATGGCTGTCAATGTATGCTTTTTCAATGTATGCTTCAGACACGGGTCACGACGAGGCGTTCCCCATAGCGACCCCTAGAGGACGCAGTGTCTCGTTCCCTACTCAGGGAACCATGGTTACATAAGTAACCTGAGACGTGTTTTGTCATTCCAGAAGTATCGCATACTGTATGTATCTTTTACTTTTACTTTTATATTAAATTATATGACATTCACCGGAGCCCCAAAGGGGACATGGAAATGAAAATCATATTTCTTAGCAAAATAAAGTATTGCGTTCCCCCCAGAAATGTTTGCCTGCAAAAAGCATTGAAATATAGCCACCTCATATCAACACAAATGTTTTGCGAGTGAACGGAAAACAAATTCTCAGGGGAATGCAAAAGTTTTGTGCAAGAACGCAAACACTTAGTGAGAGAAAGCAACAATACTTGGGGAGCGCAAACATTTTGTGAGAAAAACACAATGTGATCTTTTTTTTTTTTGAGAAAACACAAAGTTTTTCAGGGGAATGCAAAAGTTTTGTGAGAGAATGCAATTTTTTTTGTACAAACGCTTTATGAATGTTTTGTAAGGGAATACAAACGTTTAGTGACAGAAACCAACATTTCTTAGCGAAACACAAACATTTTGTGAGAAACACAAATGTTTCGCAAGAAAACACAATGTACACTTTAAAAAAAAACAAAAAAACGCAAAGTTTCTCAGGGGAACGCAAAAGTTTTGTGAGAGAATGCAACATTTTTGTGCAAATTTTTTGAATGTTTTGTAAGAGAATGCAAACGTTTAGTGGAAAAAAAAGCAACATTTCTTAGGGGAAAGCAAAAGTTTAGTGAGAAGCACAAACGTTTTGCACAAAAAAAAAAAGCTTTTTAGAGAAACGTAAACGTTGTTTTGAGAGAACGCAAAGTTTCTCAGGGGAACGCAAGAGTTCTGTGAAAAAACGCAAACGTTTTGTGAGAGAATGCAAAGCTCCTCAGGGAAATGCAAACGTTTTGCGAGCGAACGCAAATTTTCTCAGGGGAACGCAAACATTTTCTAAGAGCACACAACAGTTTTGTGAGAAAATGCAAAGTCCTTAAGGGAGCGTAACGTTTGCAAGAGAAGTTTTGGCGAGAGAACATAAAAGCATTGATATATAATTTCCATCAGCATGTCCCTATGGCTCCATAACATTCATGTCATTAATAGTGAGTAGGCTAAGTGATTTCGGACACAGCATATGCATGAATGTTAATAAGAATTGCTAAGAGCTAATCGCTCTCACGCATCTCATGAGTTCAGCACCGTGGCAAGATGTCATGATAACTGTCCTCTTTACATCATGCTGATGCTTATATCACTACTATTGCAACTGCCTCCTAACTCTGTCCTAAAAATGGAATGTGAAAACCAAATCGGATTTGTGTGCAGTGTGAACAAAGCCTTAGTTTTGGCCTCTGAATGTACTAAAACTGATATACAAACTGGGTTGCAGTAACTGCAGGTCTTGGAGTGCATAGACTGCTAAGACCTCTTTGCATTGAGCTCTGTTTGAGGCATATATAAACTCACCACTATTCTCAGCTCAGAGTAGATGATGAGCAGAGGAAGAATACTTGTAACAGATGTGAGAATGTGAACGAGGGCAGCGGTGCCATGGAGCAGAATGGATGTACCCTGTTGGTTGAAGCGCACTGGTGAGGCATAGTATATGTGTGTTTCATAAACGGGTTTGGGCTTCAGGGATGTAGATCTCTATGCTGTCGGCCCGCTCTGTAGCTGAGCTCTGACGGAAAGAAGCAGCCCGTTTTGCAGCTAGGAGCCTGCGGCGGGCCTCTTGCCTCTGTCGGTCCTGCAGATCCAGGGATCGCTCACGCATGACAGCTCCACGACTTTTAGGGGGCCTCTTTGTAACAGGAGGTGGCCATTTTCTTTCCTGAGATAAAGAAGTAGAGTTCATTATCATTTCCTTGGTTTATTAGAATGTGTGTCAGTGCAACACATCAATTTAGTGCAAATAATTATTTAAGAAAGAAAAAATGAAGCTGAGAGCTGAATGACTATTTTTACTCATTTTATCCCGATTAAAACAATGCATTTAACAGAGGCATCAGTATCAGTATTAGTAATTATATATACATTTTGCTATGTAAATATATATACTACCAGTGTTGAGGAAAGTTATTTTTTAAAGTAATGCATTACAATATTGAGTTCTTTTATAAAAGTTCTATTTTTTGGCAAATGTAAATGCCCTTTCACAACACAATGAAGTAAGCCTCAGGCTGAAGGAAATGTGAAATTCAAAAAGCTCAAACAAATCTTTCAGCTGTGCTGACATTCTGGATTCCAAATAAAGAATTGGACACAAGAGAAGAAAGTTCAAAACTTTCTTCTCAATCACAAAAAAAAAAGATAAAAAAAAAAAAGAAGGTTGAATTAGTATGGTTTAAATGGGTCACTGAGTCAGAACTGGTTAATAAAATGTGATTAAATACATAAAGGATTTTTGTGTTAATGTAATTATTCCAGGTTTACGTTTGCTTTTCACTGTTTTTATTCATTTTGAGAAATTAATTAATTCATAGCCTATACATTAAACCTTGTAACAGAGATGAACATATTTTCTGAAACACAATTCACATTTTTTTTTATCATCTGAAACGCGCTGCAACTTATATTCTAAAGCGACTCATATAATGCAATTAACGTCAACAAGCAAAACATGCACACACATTTGTAATGGTGCAGAATGGGATGTGAATAGCCTCAGACTACTAGTTTCAGTTTCGATTTAAATAAAGTCCCGCATGCTTGGAATTTAAAATAAATGTTGTTTTGAATGCCCCTATATTTTTTGTTTGTTTATATTTACGATATACATCGTTTGTTTTAATTCAAATGATGCGTGTGCTAAGTGAGCAAACCGCAATAAATATCATGCAACTTAAGTGTGCACGCTCGCATGCTTTCTCTCTCTCTCTCCTTACCGTCAAGTAACTTTAGTTACTTGTGCATTGTTTTACTTGCTTTTGACATATGCGACCAAACTACAAACATTCCAGTGATGTCTGTGAGAAAGGGCTATTCGCTCGAGGAGCTTGTGCATCCTTGCCAGCACACGCTCACACAGAGTGCTTTGCTTATCAGCTCGCGCACATCAGCTAGTCAGCCGTGAATATAGAATTTTTAACATTATGTTAATTACATACATGTACTTCATAGACATCCTTAATCTCTAATAACTTTCGTCAATAACATTCAACTCTGAGTTGTTCTGTTGTCGGTGATTCTTTATCTGAAAATAGCATTGTTCACATGCTGTGTGGTGGTATCGGTGTTTGGTATCGGAGCATTTTTATGAGTACGAGTACAGGAGCGCGTCGAGTGCATCCCTAATATATACTGTATATAGTCTGTGATGCTCCATGTACCTTCTTCTCTGGACTCTTCACTATCCTCCACTCATTACTCTTGATTTGCTGCAGCTCATCAAATTTGGCAGTGACATCCTCAATGGAGAGCTGCAGGAGATCCCAGAACCCAGCCAGGTCCTGAGCCGTTGGGCGGGGCATAGCGCTGGGGTCCTGCACAGAACCATTATATGTTACACACTTCTCAAAAAAGAACAACAGTTATAAGTTACAGCTTTACTCATAAGTTTACACACCCCTTGCAGAATCTCAGGGATCTTTAAAAAAAAAAAAAAATCTATATAATCAATTTAAAAATAAGAGGGATCATAACGATGCATATTGGTTTTTATTTAGTTCTGTGTTAATGAAGCTATTTGACATATATGCATATATTTGCATACTTCTTAAAGGGGTCATATGATGCGATTTCAATTTTTCCTTTCTCTTTGGGGTGTTACAAGCTCTTGATGCATAAAGAAGATCTGTAAAGTCGCAAAGACTAAAGTCTCAAATCCAAAGAGATATTCTTTATAAAAGTTAAGAGTCAACCACGCCTACCTAAAACAGCTCGTCCTAACACGCCCCCACATGTCTACGTCACGATGTGGGAAGATTTGCATAACACTGCCCAAATGTTCACGCAAAGAAAGAAGTCGTAACTTTTATTTTCACTGTAGTATTGTTGTTGCTGCCGCCATGTTGTGAA